AAAAAAAAAAAAAAATAGATGATTACAAAACTTGAACCCCAACGACCCCTTTACAGAAAAATATTATTGTTATCCCTTTCATGTTTACTGTTATTTCAAAATCGAACCCGAATACTTTAGTTTTGAAACTTCTTTGATATCAAACATATTGGCACAATGCCGACCCATCCGAATTCTATCTAGCATGGTTTACCTTTGCCATTATACTATAATCTTTACCATATAGTATTAAACACGAAACCAAACACAGAAATGGTTAGCATATAAATAACCTAATGTGCTTAGGTACTAGCGGTTCAAGCTGCTGTTTGGCGTAACCCTTTGCTATTTCAGCCAATTCTAATTGCTTAGAATCAAGTGAAAAGTAGGCCAAACATAGCTGAGTTTGGGTATCAACAATGATTTCCTTAAGCGCAACACAGTTCTCCAACAAGTAGTTGACTAATTCAATGTCACTCGGGCAACCATAATAACCTAAAAACCGAAAAACATTCAGATGCTGGTGCAGTGGGAAGTGCTTCAATCCCTTCTGAATTTCGTTGTTCGACCTTTCATCAGCTTTTAACCACCTTTGCTGCCCATACCAAGTGAAAATTAAAATAAGTTCATATACTAAGTTAACACCTGTAAATAATATACGACAACAAATACAGGTAGTAAAGCCATTCAATGATGACGAGATAGCAGGGATAATATTTACACAGACCAACCTTTAACTCAAATTCTTGCAGGTTGGGAGATACACTGATAAAATTAGCTAGGCCAAGAAGACTCGAGTCCACACCACGTAAACCTTCAATGATGACCAACTTCTTAAGTTTAGGCATCATGGGGAATTTGAGCATCGATAGAAGCTCCTGCAATAACAAATAAATAAAGTTTTTTTTTAAAAAAATATTCCAATATATAACCTTTTCAAAATAATTTCATCTTAGTACTGTTAATTTGACAATCATTTGTGTATTATATGACCCACCAAATTTAACCACGTGATGATTGTCAAATCAACAATAGGGCTCCATTATCAAGTTTTATATCTACTTTACAATCACTAAGCTTCATTAATTGAAAAATAAACCAATGTAGAAAGACACCTTACCTTCCTACAATAAATGTCAAAGGTGAGAATCTCCAATTGGGAAAGACGGCAAAGTAATGTAGAAATTAATCTCTCTACATACATAGAAGGAAGCAAAAAGTCCGCATAGGTCACATAAACACTAGTAAGCATTGGAACGTCCTCAAGCAAGAGGCCTTCTATTTTATCAAGTCTAAGTGAAGTTAGTTTCGGAGCAGAAATTCTTAAGGATTTTAAATAATTGCAATCCCATATCTCCAAATGCTTTAATACAAGGGATGGTCCGCAAACTTCAAGACGTGTCAAATATTTGGAGGCACGGACATTTAACTGCTCGAGCAATGGGCAGCCACGTAAGAAAAACTCAATAGTTTCACCAGAGACTTGAATACAGCCCAAGGACAACATTTTTATGGACTTACAGTTGAAAAGTCTACTAGATTTGCAAGGACCGTCTGAACTGCATAACTCTGGAGGAAACACGTACGTTTCATCTGTGGCATGAATCAAGTCACCATCTGAAAGGTTCAACTCCAACTTTTCGGTGTGCCTCTCAAAAGCAAATTCAAGCCACTTTGTAATTGACTTTCCTGCTGATTTGAGTAAACTAAAGCATATTCTTAATTCTTTCACGGTGGAACCTCGGTGTGATTGGAGAACCGAATCCACCCACTTTACATACTTTTCCCTCTCAACACTGACAATGTGAAATTCTGAAGCCCGCATAATCTTCTCCATCGAACTAGAGTCATCAAAGTTGAGATGTGAGGTATAACTCCATAGGTTTCTCCAACGAGAAGAAAGAACACTTGTTCGCCCAGCTTCTTTCAACGGGAGGAAAGATAGGATAATAAGGAGAATGTCATCGGGTAATTGACTTATAAGATTATCACCATGGTATCTCTCAACACACTGCCAAGCAAACACACGATAACCCATCAAGAATGAAATAATCAACAAGTTGCACGTGATTTTTCACATTAAGTGCTCCAACACGTGTAGCCAAAGTAGAGTTTTCAATAGTAGGACTGTATTGTATTGTTGGACGATCCAATTTGCTGTAATGAACTAGTTGCCTGTGAAACGGTCAACGGGCGGTCAAACCGATCAGAACCAGCGGGTTGATCCAGTCCAGATTTTTTTGAATAAATTTTAGTATAATATAAATAGAAATAATACATAATCAAATATAATGGTTACATTATATAATGGGATATGTATGAACTATTTATCAATTAGTTTAAGCATTTGAAAGTTCTAAATTGTCAAAATAGTGTATATATAATGTTTAAATGTATAAAGTTATTACATAAAGTATATATATATATATATAAAAACATTATTAAATTAAATACCGATTCGACTGGTCACTAATCTGAATGTAAACCAATGGACTAGTAGCTTAGTCGGTCCAGTTTTGAAAACCTTGATATCGCCACAATTTGTCTTTTGTTTCTTTTTATGTAGGTTATTTTATAATAAATTCCATTTATTAAACAATATTATAAATTGACTTTTTGTGGCATATAAATCTTTTAAATTCATGAAAACAATTCTATATAAAAATTACTAAAATTTTTTAAATATGATAGAGTTCCAATATCTCTACTGAATCCAATTTCTACAAATTTCCTGAAAATATAAACAAAGAAGTTTAATATTGTTAGCTATGAAATTTAATATTCAAATAAATTTAATTCGTGTTTTTTATTAGTGATCACATTTTTTTTCATTATTAGTATTTTGACATATGAGTATTTGATAAGTATAAATTCTAGGATAAACAATGGATACAACATGTACTACACATGCTTTTGTGATTTGCAATCTACAGTATTTTTCGTTGTAAAATGCAACCTGAACTTCTGAAACATTCATAATTTGCACACTCGCCTACTTCTTGACCATACGACCATCTGCAAAAATTGACACATGCATGGTCAAGATGTAGGCAACTATGCAAATCATAACTGTTCATGAAGTTTAGGTTGCACTTTAACACAAAAAATAATGTAGGTTACTAAATATAAAAGCACGTATAGTACATGGTGAAAAAAATGATTTACCCATAATTTTATTACATAAATTTGTATAATCTAACTTCTAGTTATGGCCCCGTTTGGTAGATAGCGGATTGGACTTAATTGAGACCGTCAAATCCGCTATTGAGCCTGTTTGGTAAATAGCTTATTTGATAAGCTTTTTGGGCCCAAAACTCTAATTTAGAAAAAGCTCATTAGAGCAGCGTTTTGGGGATAGAGGATTCACAAAATCATTTACTTTGAACTTTTTAATTTGTATTATTTATTTTACAATCTACATTGGTTTATGCTGCTAATAAATAATAATATGTCATCCATATGATTAATTTATCTAGAAAAATGTAAAATTCATAACTTCTTCATCAAGTGTTAGTAAATTTAAAATATATATATATATATTTTTATAAATTACCAACTAAAGAATATTAAATGTTTTAATATATTATTATTAAAAGAATACACCCTAAATAATAAAATGTCCTTATTGGTCAATTTGCAATGTCAAACAGTCATAAGCTTTCAGTTAATTTACCAAACACTTATTTAAAAACCGCTAATGCAATCCACTGGTCAAATCAGCTAATATAATCCGCTATCCGCTACGCTGATCACCAAACAAGGCCATCTAAATCTTTTTGAATAATTGATGTCTAGTTTTTAATAGTTATATAATATATACGATTACATGATACTTGACAATAAAATCAATTTAAAAATAACTAGAATAAAATACGAAACTTCATTTGTACTTAGGGCATCATCTCTACTCTCTACTCTAGACTCTGCTCTAGAGTAGAAATTGCTCAATTCTATAAATTCTATAGTATAACTATAGTAAACCAAAATTTTTAAATTTCGTGAGCAACATTTTACTCCACGTTAAATATTCTCATTATAATACCAAAGTATAATTGAGATAAATATATTATTTTACACATGTTTAATTATTTAAGTAATCATGATATTGTTTAATTTAAGGTTAATTTATAAAAGTATTTAACCAAATAAATAATTAAGTACATCTCTAAAAATATTTATACAATTATAGAAAGAAGCACGCCCAGCATTGGAGCGATATTTTGCCATCATCTCTCAAGCGATACATGCACACCCACTCTTCTACTATATAAAATCTCCATGTTTTGATTGTAATAAAATTGAATGACTTTTCTTTTCTATTAATGAAGAATAGTGAAATCCCAAAATCAAGATTTTTTTTAATGAAGATAGAGAGGATAAAGTCATTTTTTTATGCATACCCAAGTTCCAATCTATTCATAAAGTTTTCTCATGCTAGAGTATTCCGAAAAATAAACTTAAACTATTGTGTTGGATGCACTCTCAAAAGTAAATTGCACACTATATTACGGTTCAAACTAAAAAACTACAAACACGTTTCTGAACAATTTAAAATTTTGAATTATAGTTATTATGTAGTCAATATGAATTATTAATCTTATTTTATTTTTCGAATAGTATGAAATCTATATAAACTTGTGAAATTCATATGAGCAACACAGCTAACAATCAACATATCCAAGTAGTAGAAGAACTCACAGAATTGTATCAACAAAATATAAAATAATTAAATGATTTGAATCAAGGAAAAAGAAAAGGAGTCCAAAATTTGAAAATTGTTAAAACTCTTAAAGTTACCTCTTGCAAGCCCTTTTCGCTGCAAAAGAGATTTATCATCTCTCTTTTTGAATTGTATTAAACAGTTTTGTTACGCTAAAGCAGAAGATTGGCTTGCTCCCTTTGAAAAGGCCGATTTTCGGTATCAATTGCGCCAAGAATTCAGTGACAGCCAAAGAAAGGAAATAAAAACCAGTTATCTCTGCCTTTATCCAATGAAGAGAAAAGCCTAGTTCTCTGTAATAACTAAAAACAATAATCAAAGAACAATCATCAAAGGCGATTGAAAACCATAGAAAAAAGGGCAGCTGAAGCAGTATAGAGGTTAGTTTGTTTAGAGAAGATCTAGATTGTAAAACTTCAAAATTAAAAAAATAAAACTACGGGATTGCGGCTGTGATTTATATATTAATAAGTCACAACCAAATGAACAAGACACAACCTTACAAATCAAATTAGAATTCACAGCCAAATCACAGACTCGCATTAGAATTCAATTCACAAGTTTACACATGTGGGGAATTCTCACTCACATTAGAATTCACAAGTCACAGCCAAATCATATTCCACAGCCAACTTGAAACCAAATCACACCCAATTCTACAATAAAATCACACTTAACTTCTATTTATTTAGGAGTTCCACCATCAATCAGGAATATGGATAGGCAATTAACCTTCCAAAACCAGATCAAATTCCAGAGTCAGTTATATATGAGCCTGAAAATTAACAAATCCAATTTCTAGGTCAACATTGCGAAAACTCCTAAAATTATCTTTTGTCATCCATCAATAACCATAATATAACGGCAAAATCATCAAAATACGAAGGATTCAGATAACACATGTAAGAGAGCAAAGGAAGGAGTGCGAAAGTCACAAGTCACCGAGTACCTTTAAAGCTGCCGGTAAACTCGTCTAACGAGAGGAATAAGGACCTTCGAGTCGTCTGATATGCCAAAGGCGCGGTGCGCCGGTCTGAAATCCCGCCTCGATGAACCCGTCCGAACTGGCAAAGGGCCGGCGACTGAGAGACTGAGAGTTGTGGAGGTGGGGCGCGACTGAGACTAGCGCGAGGGCCGGCGAGTGAGTGTCCGACGGCGGCGCACGAAGAGGGCGGAGGTAGGAGAACGGACGGATCAACTTTTGGTTTGGTGGAGTTTGGGCGATTAGGGAATGAGAATAGTCGGGGAATTCGGTATTATATATATAGGGACTACTTGTCTAACGGTTAAACGATAATATAATCTATACTTATATAAAAAGAATTACTATTTATTAAATATATCAAGCAAAACAAATTTCAAAATTTCTAAATAAAAGGGATAGAAGTTTAAATAAAATATGGTTGCTTTAACAAATTTAATAGGGAAAAAAAAAATCTTTAATTCAAATTCAATTGTTAACAATTTCCTAATAATTTTCATGCAAATTTTTAATTCAAATTCAAATGTTAACAATTTCCTAATAACTTTCCTACAAAATTGCCCGCATAAATAATGATAGATATGAAATTTAGCAGTATTCAAAAGTTAAAGAGTAATTCAAATTGTGGAGAATTTAAAATGGTACGAGTTTGCATCATTCATTTTAGTAAAAAAAAAAAAAAAACTTAAAATGAATTTTATTAAAAAATTAATTTCATTTAATTAACTTGCACTAATTATACCGTCCATGCAAAGAAAAAAAAACACAATTATATTTATGCAATTAAAAAAAATGTATGCTACAACATTGGATATTAATCCATACATAATAGGTACTCACTTAATAAATCTTCACCACATCATTTGTTGGAATAAAAAACTTAATAACGGAAAAAAAAAAATTGGGACTATGTTTACTTGAAAGACTATCAACAAGTGTACAGATTTTTAAATTTATTTTCAAATTGAAACTTTAAATTCGTACTCAAATGGAATTAATATAATTTAATTAGAAATGTAGGAATTTCTTAGAAAAAAAACTATCAACCAATTTGCATTGATTTTCAAAAACACATAAATACTGATTTCTAAAATTATGGGGATTGTTTACTTGATATAGATTATGACCACGTGTATAGATTTTAAAACCATCATGAAATTCAAATTGGAATAATATGATTTAATTAGAATTGTAGGAGTTTGTTAAGAACAAAAACTCTCTGTGAGTTTGCATGGATTTTCAAAAACAAATAAATACGGATTTCTTTTATAAAAAATTCATTTATTCGTATTTCATCATAAATCTCAAAGATGTGTACTTTGTTGATACGTGTTTGAATAAAAATCTTAATAACAACGAGATTTTAAAATCATTACATAAAATTGATAAATGAAGTATATGCAGCGTAGAATTGTTAAGTCTCCGTTTATTTTATACATTTGAATACAAATTTTGATAATGAGAATTTAAAATTATTATATAAAATTGATAAATGAAGCATATGCATAAAGCATGGAGTTATTAAGCCTCTGTTTATTTTATACTCAAATTGATGACGAAATAATTTTCGGTATCATCTCAATATTTATTTTATATATATAATATGTAAATCTTTTCTCAATTTTAATATTTTAGACATAAATTTTTTTATGTTCTTTATATAAGATAATTTTATATTGTTACAATAGACTATATAAAGTAAATTTTATCACATGTAACCCCACATCTTTAATTTATAATTATAGTTAATATTGTTTATCCTAATATTTAGTTTATAATTAATATTAGTATTATTATTATTTTTTTTGGTACAATGAAAGAGGCCATAAGCCTATATTAGGACTCGACGAGGATACGATACTCCAATAATATCATGCTCTAACCAAACTCCTAGAACCGAAGGCGGGGAACCTACTCGCTGAAGGTTGGGATTATTAGTATAATTTACTGTGCATAGCACGGGCTACACACTAGTGGTGTTGACCAGCGCTCCATCCCTTTCAATTTTTCTAGGGTGTTACTATTTATCGCTCCCCATTTTACTAGTCACCGTCCTTCTTGGATAATTTTATCCTTCTCATTTTTTCTAAACATCTCAGAGAAAAGTGTACGGTGAAATGTCGTCAAATTCGGAGGTACGAAAAATTTGGTGTGATGTGTAAATACAAGTGTCTCATGACGTGACACAAGCTATTTAATTTGATTGCCACGTCAATTTTTCGATCGGCCGCGTCAGCGGACCTTTGCCGGAAGTCAACTTTGAGACAAGATTGCAAAAAATCAAAAAGGTTTGTATTTTGGTGCAAAATTAAAAAGCTGAGTTTTATGTGCAATTTAATAAAAGGTTATGGTTTTTTTTTTTTGTCAATTAACCCTTTTCTTTTTTAACTAAAGTCCACAGCAGTAGGAACGACTAACGAGCGCTCCCAATTTACTCTCGAGTAGAGCACAATTGAGCAGAGAAAGAGTATGGTTAGCGTTCTCCCTTTCTCTGATACTATCACACTCGTGTTACGTAGGCACTATGTTCCAGGTGTGGCTGTTCATTTGTAATCTATGGTGGAAATTCCCAGCTTAATTTGTGGAATGGTTACTATCTTGCAGGATTTATTCAGGAAGGCACTTTTGCAAGCGGGGCCGCCTCAAGATTTTGCTCTTCAGACTGTGCAACAAGCTATAAAACCTCAGGTTTGTCAAAATATATCTGCATATGTATATTAGATTAGGAACATAAAAAGCCTTAGTCTTTTGGAGTTCGCGTTTTCTTTTAGGTTCGGATCAGCCCTACGAAGGAGAAAGCGTTGGTTTGCTTATAAAGTGTTTGTTGCTTTATAATTTGAAATTCGGCGTGCTGTTTTATCTTTTGAATTTCTGTTATTGTTGTTCGTAGTACTTTTTAGACGATTTCTTTTGTTTAAATATTTGGTTTATATTCTTTACTGTATTTGCAGAAGCTAGTGAAACTTGTTCAAGATGAAAATCAGTTGTTGGAAAATATTCTGCGGGCCTTGTTACAGGAGCTGGTGGTAATGTTCTGTCACATTCTTGCTTTTGTACTTTTGGTTTCACTCTCAATTCAACTATTTTGGATGTAAAAGACTTGAGAATCCTAGAAGTGCAATTATAATGTTTGGTTATTTGCTCCTGAGTTTGGCAAAATTTGGGCCAACTGCTGGATAAACTTATACAGAACAATAATTGTTATCTGTTGTTGAAATCAACAAATCATAGGCAATGGAAGCTAGCTCAATCTTTGGTGACTGCTACTTCTGACAGTGTATTGTTGACAGTGTTGACCATTTGCCTCGTGCTTTTGTTGCTTGATGATATTGGTGTTTATATCTAGTTTGTAAATGTTCAATGAATAATTAAAAATTTTTAGTTGATTCATAAAAGAATGTATATGTTGTCGCTTTGTGCGTTCAGAACATTGCATTTTTTTGCTCAGGCTCGGCAGCCTGCCAGATTGATCTCTATGGTTGCAATTGCCTCGATATAAAAATTTATTTCAGTTCTACTTATGCGGTATTATATTTGAAAAGGTCAAACTTTGTATGATTTGATATTCTATGAGGCAGTGAACTTTCTTATCTACGTACATCAATGCATATCAGTCCAATTTATTAGTTGTGTATTTAGTGAGTTTTATTTGGTTTTACTCTTCGATGACCCGCATGTAGCTAGATGTTAAAAACTTTACTTAGTAGATTGTATATTTACTTGCTATCTTGTCGCAGTCAGCTGCTGTGCAGTCAGGTGAGGGAATCATGCAATACGGTCAATCAATTGCTGATAAGGAAACTCTTCCTGGACAAATTCCTCGTCTTCTTGGTGAGTGCAAAGTTTAAGTAACACCTCTAGCATTTTATTTTTTCTTCATGGACTGTGCAAAGCTTTTTGCGTTCTGGATGGTTTATTGAAATTCAAGGGATATTTTATGCATTTTACAAAAGGAATTCTTTTGACGAAATTTCTGCTTCTGGTACTAGATAAATAATGTTACTTCAAAGCAGACAAGCTAAGTGAAGACCTTCACTTGTTCACTCACCAGTTACCGATGTGATTCAATATTTCTATTTTGAATAGATTAGATTTGGATTTTGTAATAATCAGAGTTATTCTGGCGAATGGGGAACATTTTGCATCGATTTTACAAATTTTCTCTGACACATTCCTTGAAATGTGTAGGTGGAAAAATACAAAGTTCTAAATGTTGCTAATTTATTATTATTTTGACGTTCCTTTTGATGTTACTAGAAGTGAAGTTAGATGGACCTCTTCATATGTTAGTAGCTTGAAAAAGTTGATCACTCAGAATATCATTGCGGAACAGGGATGTCCAAGTTTGCTGTCAAATTGAATCAAATATGGTCATGATGGTAGTGAGGTTGTGGCACTTGGCTTGAAATGTAAACATACCTGCCTGCCAGGAAATCTCACCTCCTCCATATTCTATTCTAGTACCTTGTCAACTTTTTTCAATATAATCATTCTGTTTCTTCTTAAAAAAGAACAAAAATGTAAAAATGCTGAATGTACGGTTTAAAGAGTGTTTATTCAAAACCATCTCTGGAACTATCAGAAACTACTTTTGCACTCCTGCTGATATTTCTCGTAGATGTGATGACAAAAATCTGTAACATCTGATTCGGTTTTTGTCAACACTTCATTATCAGACACATTAGGCACGTTATACTGTTGTATTCTCATCCTTTTTTTATGCAATCCATTTGATTATCTTTCATTTCGTTTGCCATGATTTTTCCATATAAGTCCATGGCTAGTTTTTATCCGAACTTCAACTAGCTGAACAAACTAGGAGCCATATTAGAGATAAGAAAAAATTGACTACTAGTTTGACAAGCTCAAAGGTCGGTTTTCCGCTCTTAAATGCTGAATTATATCGAAAGGTAGCTGAGGTGGTTTATGTAGTTGACTGTCCTCTCTTTCATGCCCTTACTACTTTTACTGCAGAGATTGTTTTGTACCTATGTGAGAGAGAGCATATTGAAGGCGGCATGATTTTTCAGCTTTTGGAAGATTTGACAGAAATGTCTACAATGAGAAATTGTAAAGATATTTTCGGCTACATAGAGAGCAAGCAAGATATTCTTGGCAAGGTACGTTACATTGTTTACAATGCTTCTATGTTTTTTAATGCATCCACATTGCATTTTGACACATATTCACATCTTCCTTTGATGAGTTTTCTATTGTTCTTTGCCAATTTTTTAACCTTTTGTTTTTTTCTTTCTTCAAATGATGTTTACATAGCCAGAGCTTTTCGCGAGAGGAAAACTTGTGATGTTGAGGACATGCAATCAACTTCTTCGTCGTTTATCAAAGGTTCGATTCTGGAATGTTCGTATAATCTAGTATCTACTTTTCACAACTCTATTTTCATGTTGTGCACCTTATCTTATCATTGTCATTCCACATCAGTCATCCCACTATCACTATAACTTTGAACAGTCAAGAAAATATTATGTTAATTACAAGATGAAGCTTGTGTTTACTTTCTATTGTTAATAAATTGGTCCTTGATACTGACTGGTTTGTAATGGTTACATTAATTTATGCTTCCCTGTATAGGTTCCTGCCATATATCATAGATCTTCTCCAGTTACGCTGTTACGACTAAACTAAAATTTCTTCTACAGAATCTTACTTTGTAATGTACTACTGCTTATTTTGAGTACTTTTTCTTGCTGACCTTTGATCTTGGATTGCTGTTGCATATTCAGCTCCTGTTGCAGCTGCTACAGCTGTTTTCTTCACTAATTGGTTTTACTATATTTCACTGTATGAGAGATCAATTAAAGGGGAGTTGGCATACGGATTTGATGTGAAGCAAATTGAATTTATATTTGGTTTCTCAAAGCACTAGGCTTTCTTGTAACTTGTTTTATCTGCTTTGAATATTTGTAGAAAACAGAAAAGGGCATTAATCCACTCAATTTCTGCTGGGTTCTTCTATAGGAAGTCCTTGTGTGAAAATCTAACAAAATTAAATACCTTTCTGAATTGTATTCTTACTGAGAATAAATAAAGACTGCAAAATCTAAGTTGCATCAAATCCAACAAACTTCCTACTTGCAGAAAACATAAGTTGTGTCAGTCGATATAGCTATTTTTTGCAACATAACAATAGCGATCTTATTTATGCATATAATCTTGTACTTCAGGCCAACGATGTCGTGTTCTGCGGACGAGTTATAATGTTCCTTGCTCACTTTTTTCCACTATCAGAACGTTCTGGTACTTTTTCCCGCTTTATATGATATATCCTATTGAATCATCTTATACTTAAAATAGCATTTACTTTATCAGTTAATCGTTGTACCTTTTCTGTCAGCTGTCAATATCAAAGGAGTTTTCAATACATCAAATCAGACAAAATATGAGAAAGACACCCCAGAATGTAATTCTGTTTAACTTCTAACCATTTATATCTTCTCTCTCTCTCTCTCTCTCTCTCTCTCTCTCTCTCTCTGCTGTTTGAACTAATGTCAGGTTATGCACAACCCGATATAACTGTATTGTTTTGGTTTCAGGTAGTACTATTGATTTCAACTTTTACAAAACCTTTTGGAGTTTACAGGTCAGTATAAAAGAAAGATTACTTGTCTACAATATTTCCCTTTTCTAAAAATTTTCGACCAGTCTAGCAGAGAAGTTTGGTTTATCATTATAGTAACTTTTAGTTTTAACATTATCTATGTCTGGTATGATGTGATGGCTGTTTAAGCTTTCCTTACATAAGCACTGGCTGCAACTGAAAACATTTACTGTTTTTCAGGGTTCATTGGTTTTGTCTTTTATGTCTTGTACGCCCTGGAAAAGGATATATGAAAAACAAAAAGTAGCTATTTGATATAAATTAAGTATAGAAGAAACGGAAACCTGGAAGCTGATTAGCAACACTTAACAGTCAGCTCGTTAGCTGTATTTCTCTTGGTTATTTCCAGGAATCAATATATTGTCCATTGCAAATGGAGCTGGAACAGTCATTGTTAACAATTCTCCTGGCATAGTGCTAATAATGGACTAGATCAAAATGGCTCAATTAAATTCTAGTGCTTCTTCTATTAGTGAAGTTTCTAGAAAAAAAAATATATATCAAATGGCACAATGCACACCTTGGGTCGCTACGAAAACATCCTCCTTGTATAATTACAAGGGTAAGGTCTGCGTACAACTGACCCCCCAGACCCCAACCTGTTGGGAATATACTGGGTATGTTGTATTTCCAGGAATCAATATTGAATTATTGGTATTGTTACTCTTATCTCCTGCTGTTAATTATAGTTGTTTCTTGTGAGTTGATTTAAATTCATTACATGGTTGGCTGGAGATTTTATTCGGACATGTATTCTAGAGTATTTAGTATTTCCTGTCCCAAAAATATGAGTCACAAATCCTACCAAACATGTAGATATGCTGTCATATTTAGTAAGTAAATAGTTTTACTTTTCTTGCATACGCCTAGGATCAATTGTGCTATTGGAAATAAAGAACCTTGGAAAACGAGTACAAACAATTTTGGATTGGGATATCCAAAGGAAAGTAGAGTTTTAACCAACTTTGTCTCAACTCTATGCCTGTCTTTTTGCTGGCATGGAGCCATGGAGGGAGTACATAATTAGGAGAAACTTTCTTGACCAATGTTTTTGAGTAGAGACAGACTTCACCGCAGTTACTAATGTTTCAAAAGAGATAAGTCTGAATTGAGTTATGTATAGGACAACCAGGGCTTCATGTGCTACCTTGCAATGTGTACTTAAGCATGAGATATAAATTTGCAAGACATGTGCTTGTATCTAGATGATGTTTATCTCAGATTCTTTTTGGTTGGATGACTATTTTGTGATATACAATTAGAATTCTAAAGCAGAAAACTAATATAAATTAAATAGTAATGGTGATACTCAAGTATAGACTGACAAATGCATTCTTATTGGAAGTCATTGTATCTCTTTCCTCATTGATGTCCCGATATTGACTTTAGTGATGCCTATTACTTATCCTACCTTTGTCTGGTTTCAGGAATTCTTTTCTAATCCTGCCTTGCTTGCTCCTGCTCCTGCACCTGCTCCTGCGAAGTGGACTAAATTTACTTCCAGTTTAGCGGTAAATATTTAATTTCTAATCTTCAAAAAACTTCTGAATCATGCAGAACTGGTCATCATCCTTTTTCTTGGAACTGGATATAATAGGTTGTGTTGAATACGTTTGAGGCTCAGCCTTTGAGTGATGAAGAGGGCAGTGCTATTAACCTTGAGGATGAAGGGTCAAACTTTAGTATAAAGTATCTCACAAGCAGTAATCTAATGGGTCTGGAGGTAAGCATTATAGTGTGTAAAAAGTTCATTCACTAAAGCAATTTGCTTCAAGCGTTTCTCTTGATTCTATATACATCTTATTCACCATATCTTGCAGTTGAAGGACCCTAGTTTTCGTCGACATGTTCTGGTTCAATGCCTTATTTTGTTCAATTATTTGAAGGTATTTCTGTTTAGTACGTTTAGTTTTTAATTAATCGTTAATTATAAATGCTTCTTTCGGAGTCTTTGCATTAAATATTCATTTTCTTTCTTTTATTAATTATCTATCTTTCTTTTCCTTTTTCCTTTTCCCTGTGAATGATTTATATATTGTAAGTATGCAGGCTAACTGTCTGCTTGATGCATTTTCGTCTTTTCTTAATTGGGAAGTATTAAAATCCTTGTATAGTTGTATTCTATCTTTAATTGGACTAAGAGTAATTTGGTCAGGATCAGAGTAATGGTCTAGGGTGTAGGTCAAGGCATAATTTGTTCCCTCTTCCATCAAGCTAACTTATATTTTGCAAATATATTTTTGTTAGAATTCTCGTGTTTGAGGTATATCTTTAATTGAGACTGAATGGTTTGATGAAGATCTTGCTCTGCGGTTTAAGATCTAAGTCAAGACATAATTGTTATCTCCCCTGTCAAGTCATCTTTTAGTAAATATGTTCTATGCAATGATGCAGACTGAGTTTTATTTTATTGGTATCTAAAGTCAATAATGTTTCAAGTTCAGTTATAATTTTCTCTCTACTTATTTTATGAAATAATTGACCACTATTGTACAAACCGTAGGCCCCTGGGAAAAATGACAAAGACCTGCCATCTGACACAATGGTTAGTTCTGAATTTGTAATTTAGTTAACAGTTTTTTTGGATCGATAGAAGCTCCTTGTTTTACCCCTTTCCACCATTCTGTTCGTTTATTTCCTCGAATTTGTCTTGTGTTTGTTAGTTTGTTCTAGAAATTGTTGTTCTCTTCTGTTTCCTGAAAGTTTGAATAATTTCTTTATGTTGTGTTATGCGGAAGGATGAAATAATATCATATGAAGAACGAGTCAAGAATATTCTAGAAACGACACCTCCTGAAGGGAAAGAATTTCTTCACAGCATTGAGCATATTTTGGAGCGTGAAAAGAACTGGGTGAGAGCTATTGCTAATTGTGGCAAATCATCCCATTTTTGGTATATTTACATGAAAATTTCCATCTTTTGTATTCGTGATGACCTTTTTCCCCTTTTCCAGGTTTGGTGGAAGCGCGATGGTTGCCCTCCATTTGAGAAACAACCAATAGAAAAAAAGCTTGCTCAAGAAGGTGGCAGAAAGCGGTAATCAACTGAATATTATTATTAAGATATTGATGAATATCACATTACATGGTAGAAGTTCATTCATTTCTAATTCTCCTCGTCTATTTTAACGAGGTTAAGCAGGTTCGTAATATCATATTAATCTTTGGACGTCCATGTTTTGGAAATTCCACGTTGATAAGTTTCTTGTCAATATGTCATTTGGTTTTAGAAAATTGTTGAACCTATATAATTGATTTAATAGGAGGCTAAAAAGTGAGTTATTTAAAGGTGGTTACCATGTGTTGAAGATGATGAGTGCTGATATTGTTGACTATTGCTGTGCTGTAAGTTATCTGATTGGAGAAGTAGGTATAGGTCTAACTTCTGAGCCTGAAGGACGCATCACATGCACTAGCAAAATGGAAATTTAAGAGGCTAAAGTACTAGTTTTACTTGACTTGGTGCGTACTGGATTGTTTCACTCATTTTGCTTTTCTATTGTGTAATATTGTAGTCGACCTAGGTGGAGATTGGGAAGTAAGGAACTATCTCAGCTGTGGAAATGGGCAGACCAGAACCCAGTGCGTTTCACACCCCCTCTATTGTATTTGTTTCTAAAATGTGTTGATTTTTTTATCTTTTTGTTGATTAAGGAAATCTGTTAAGTGTTGAATTGTTATTGTTTTTGCTATGATTATAACTAGTTAGTTATCTTGAAACAGATAAGTATTAAAACTAGTGCCTATCCGCTCATTGATATAATATTAGCTCGTAATGAACTTTTTCAAAATCTATTGCAACTTTTTATCATCTATTGACCCATGTTGATCAGTGCACTACTGATATGTTAGTTTATGGTGTTAGATGAAATTGGTTTCAGTTTGATTGCAAATCTAAGTGTGTCTGCACACATCTTTAGCTGCTATAGTCTGTTATATCTCCGTTAAGCTGATACTTTATTATGGTACACAGTATAGATATATGTAGGGTGCCCATATAGTTCAAAAGTAAACCCAAGAGACACCGGTAACCCGTGAACACTGGTGTTTGTAATTCATCCCCATTTTCATATCCAGAATTAGGTAAATCAAGAAGTATTTATGTTCTTAAAACTGAAGAGCGCGTTGTTAGAGAAGAAATTCCCAGTAAACTATAAGATCTAGGAATCTGACTAAAATATATAGAATATCTTCTATATATTCTCCTGTTTCTTCACTCCATTTTCTGTTATCACTTGATGCCTTAGTTCTATGTACTACTTATGGCTCTTCAATATGTACTTATAAAGTTCTTTCTTTTATTCTATGACATTGCATCTTGAACATATTTGAAGCTTAATAATGCTAGCTTAATATTTTCAGGCTTTCTATAACATTCGGTTAAATCGTATCCAGCACATGTAATAACAATTGATAAATTCTTCTCAGAAAATATGGTTCAAGTGAAATCTAGTTTTCTGCTAATTTCAACCATGTTGAATATAATTGCCTTCTAATACTATTACAATTGATTGTTTTATTGCTTCAGAATGCGTTAACAGATCCTCAACGTGTTCGTATTCCTGCCATCATGGATTACTGGAAACCATTGGCTGAAGACGTGAGATCAATTATATAGCCCCTTTCCTTTCGAACTATTTTCTACAGTGTTTTGGTTTGCTCTGTTTTTTATGATTTGCAAATAGTAGCTGCAAAATGAACATTCTATAGCAATAATTTGTTTGTGCATGAAATGACAGATGGATGAATCTGCTGGAATAGAGGAGGAATATCATCACAAAAATAATCGAGTCAGTATTAATTTCACTTTTGTTCATTTTTTTTTTATTATTTCTTGATTTATTATTCTTCTGCATGACTTTTAAAGTTCATCTTTGTCATTTGACCAATTGTAACCCTTAAAAAGTCTTGTTACTGTGCCCAACATTTGGCACTATTATCCAAGTACTTAGGGGGTGATTGGATGTGAATTCAACTAGTAAAAAACTAGTTTTTTTTTTTAACTATAGTTAAGTTTGAAAAAAAATAGTATGGTTAGTTGTTAGTGGATATATTAAAATAATATTGAAATTAAAATAATTAAAGTTGATTTGATGTTTGTCCATTGCAAATGGAGCTGGAAGAGTCATTGTTGACAATTCTCGTGGCATAGTGCTAATAATGGACTAGATCAAAATGGCTTAATTAAATTCTAGTGCTTCTTCTATTATGAATAGAAAAGTTTCTAGAAAAAAAAATATATATCAAACGGCGCAATGCACCTTGGGTCGCTACAGAAACAACCTTCTTGTATAATTACAAGGGTAAGGTCTGCGTACAACTGACCCCCCAGACCCCAACCTGTTGGGAATATACTGGGAATATACTGGGTATGTTGTTGTTGTTGTTGTAAAGTTGATTTGATGTAAAAGTAGGAGAAAATGATTGGAAGTGATGGTTAGTTAAAATTATGTGAGTGGGTGAATAGTGAATTAAAGTTGATGTGATGGGTAATAATGATTGGTTGATATTATTTAATTATATTGATAATATTGGAGATAGTGGAGTTGAGTTAAATTTGAGTTTTGAGTGGGATATTTACTGTACAAATTATATACAATCACGCCCTTAGTAATTATCATTATCTTCATGACATCTTATGCGCTAAGCTGCTAAGGGCAAATGCTTTAGTCGTGAGAAAGGCATGCAAGTATTGTGGAATAGCATACAAGTTTTAACTATTGAATTTTCAGTTCTTATAAAAACAAAGTGTTGCTGATGCTGCCTACTGCAGGTGTACTGCTGGAAAGGTTTGAGATTTTCAGCTCGACAAGATTTGGAGGGATTTTCTAGAGTAAGTCAAATTTCATGGAAATATGAGTAAAGTCAAATTTCATGGAAATATGAGTATCTAAAGCTTTTAAAGAAACGGCATTTGAATGTCACGTAAATAATTGTGTTTGCAGTTCACTGAACATGGGATTGAAGGAGTGGTTCCGTTGGAACTTTTGCCATCGGACCTGCGGTCCAAATATCAATCCAAGCTGGCTGATCGGTCCAAACGTGCCAAGAAGGATGAGGCAAAAGGTTCCATGCAGCAACATGAAGAATCGCAGGTATTTAAAAGTGCTTTTTACGTATCTTGATATACCTTCTCTGTGGATATTGTTTAACAAAGTAAGGCGAGTCTTGTCATTGTTTGGCATATGTTGATTGGTCAAAATGAATTTTGCAAGAATTATGTAATGGACTACATAGATACTGATTACTGTATGACTTGGCGATTTAAGGGAACTAGGAAAATGCACGTGTGTTGCGCGTTGTTACTAATATTTTTTTTTTGGTTTAAAAGTTATTTTTATCGAACGTATACTGAAGTATTGAAAAATTACCATTAGCTTAATAAAAAATCTGTGTATAAACTAATTATATAAATTTACTGGGCACTAAAATGTAATCTATAATGGTATTACTTTAAAGCTATGATTAAATAAAGCTAAATAAATAAATAAATAAGTTATTGTTAAAAATCCAAAAATGAAATCAACAGTGATTGTTGATTGTTGGCAATGTTTCCTTTATCTTTCATTTTTATTCTCTTGTATTAAAAGTTATATTTTAAATCTTAATGACCAAATTGATAACTAATGTAAATATAAAATATTATTGAATAATGTAACTGAGAAAAAACTTAAAACTTAAATTTGTATCAAATTTTTAAAAAGAGTATTTGAGGTTATAATTATTCTGTTGATAATTGAATGTTGAATGTAAATATTAATAATTGTAACTCCTTAACATTAATGATAATATTACATTAATAACCTTAGAAAGTGGCCATAGTGTGGGGTATTTTTGGCAATTCAAAAATTTTCAAGAAACAACTCTCCCTTTTAAGACTCTTCCTTCAAGAGACTTATAGATAGATATAGAAAATAATAAGTTAAATAGTGCAAGTGTCCTTGCTAGTCGAAATACGAATATTCAATGTGTCGCTAGGTTCTTTTCTTTTTCTCGTGATATGACGCTTGATAGCCTAGCCTTTGATTTCGACAGTTAAGGATAAGGGTGATAGACGGTCACTAGCGGATAGAAAAGATTTTATTCCATCCATTATTTTGATGCAGATCTATATCATATCCCGAGTTCTTGGAGATAAAGCATAAGGCTTACAATGTAGTCTTTTCTGGTGATACTCTTATCGTTTTTCTGAGCATGCCAGCACTTGTTTGGTGTACCACCAGCATCTTCTATACGTCAGCGTATCACATGTGTTTCCTTCTACGATTGTCAATCACTTTCAATGTACATACGCATTCTAAATTTTCTAACTTCACCAACCGTGACATATTGCAGATACTTTTGACCAGTGTTCTAAAAATCGGTTGCCTAGATGGCCTTAGGGGTTCATCCTAGGCATTAGGGCAATTAGGTGTCTAGGCGGGCTAGGCAGCACCCACAGTTTTTCCTTCACTTTTTTAATTTACTTTTGAGATATAATTTGAAATACACATTAGTTAATGCGATAAAAAAATGGTAATCATGTAAAACTTGATAAAATAGTTATAAAAATATTATATTTTGCACAATGGTTGAATTTGACCATGTTAATTATTTATATTCTATATAAATATAATATACCTTGTGAATTAATTAAAATGATGAATATGAATACATCTATTCATATTTTTACGACCCCACCTAGAGCCCTATCCGGTCGCCTAGCGAGTGCCTACCGACTTTTACAACATTGGTTTTGACATTAGACCTCTACCGTAAAACTACATAAATGAAAAGTGAGTTATGCTGAAAATATAGAAAATCTTTTAGAAACTAAAAGGTCTAAAGA